AATTTTATACAGATCCAGCATTTTTTTTTAATTTATGGATGCAATCAATGATACAATTGCCACAAAATCAGAATAGTCATCGATCTGGTAAACATGAACGATGTCGATCACCGGTAAAATTCAATAAAAAGAAAAAATATATCGACTCTCATATTTTGTATTATTAGAAAGGTTATCAACAACAAGAATCTATCTATGCATCAAATCCAACATCATCTTCACAATCTCGTCTTGTTCGTCAAACATCTGATGAACAACATTATCAATATCGTAGTTCTCAAGATCTTATTCATCATCGAAATGATTTTGATCAAGTAGCACGTAATACTATTCGATTACAACAACAACAACGACAACAAATCTATTCACATTCAAATCCTCGTCAACTTCTTCAATATCCAAATAATAATAATCTACAACATCGTTCAGATTTAATGCAATATGGTAGTTCAACATTATCGACATCTTCATCAACTCGTGAACAACAAATAATGGCGATGAACTTTAGTACAACTACACCAGAGTCATCATCTAATGCACCAAATGGATATAATACAGAACAATCATCTCGACGTAATGCTCATTCATCAGTTATTAATCAACAAGCTTCATCATTATTATCTGAATTCGAACCAAACAATCATATGTTGCATCATATGATGATGAAACAGACAATTGCTAGACCATCAGCTAGTCCTCCACCCCCACCACCACCTCCTCCTCCTCCACCACCACCACCGCCACCACCACCGGCATCATCTCTACTGGTATACATTGCTTTCTTTTTCTAAAAGAATTTTAATTTTAATTTGGTTTCTTTAGCAGAATATGGGTATGGTTACACTAGCAACAATTTCTGAAATTGATAGTTTACCTCCACCACCGGCTGATTTCATTGAACGGTCGCCATCGCCACCACCTCCTCCACCTCCACCTCCAATGCCATCAAATATTCCACCGGCACCACCTCTACCAAATTCTACGATACACTCAATTATTATACAACCTTCGGTGACAAGTGAATCAATAAAAATGAAAAATAGTACCAATAGTAATAATTTATCATCATCTCAAAGAGATGATGTTTCTGTGACATCAGAAACTTCCATTCAAGATCAACGACCATATATTATGCGTGATCTTCATTCTGATCTATTAGAAGAAATAAAAAAAGGTAAAAAATAATAATAGTGAGTTTTGCTTTAATCAAATCATATTCTCTTATATATTCAGGTATTCAATTGAATAATCGTAAGAAAGAAGAAGAAAAAAAAGCTTCAGTAACAACTAAAACAACATCACTTAATGTTATGGCAATTATGGAACAAGCAGCAAAATATCGTCGTGATAAGATCCGTCCACAATCAGAATCTGAGAATGATGATGAATCATCACGATGGGATGATAGTGAATAAATAAATAAATAAAAATCTGACTTCCATTTCTCACATCTTTTGTTTTTATTGTATATATTATTTGTGGTCTCTCTCTCTCTCTCTCTCTGTGTGTGTGTGTGTGTCCCTTCTTGTTTTTTTTCCCACAATTTTGTATTGATGATGTGCTATAAGTTTTTTTGTTTCGAGATGAATAACAAGAAGATTGACATATATAATGAACTTATTTCAAAAGATTGGATAACAAATATTAATGATAATGAAAATAGTCTTGTTCGATATGATGAACCACCGACTTATGAAACATTTATTCGAGAGTGTTTGCTTAAAAATCGACCAGTAATTTTTACAGCTAAATGTGGTCTCATAAGCCAATGGTCATGTATTACTGAATGGCAATTACTTGGTCAATCAGTACATGATGTTCGTATTGAACAATTAAATACAAATATTCTTTCATTAGAATTTTTTGATCGTTTATTTTTACTGTC